TTTAAATTTGTAATTATTTTGATGCAAGATGCAATTTCGATTCTTTTTACTTTCCTCAATTTTTAAATCTTCTCGCTTGATCCTTTGAACCTTCTGTCACATTCTTCACTGATAAAATCTACTACGATATGTGTTCGTATATAAAATCAATCAGAATGATATCGATGGTGTTACTTGTTGTCGTCTACATTGCACTTGCAACGTTATCTTCGATATTTTCTCACCAGATCACTCGGTATTTTTCGCCTCGATACGATCTCGGTGAACGAACGCTTCGAAATTTTATCCTCGTCGTTATCTCAACTATCAAACGTTTTCCAAATCGTGGCGAATGCGTGCGTTCCAACGTGTAATTTTCTCTTTGCAACGATTTGAGATAAAAACTTCTCTCGACTTTATCGAATATGAATGTATTTCGATCTATTTTTCAGTTCGAAACTTGGCCGTTACTTTGTGTAATTTTCTCAAAAGTGAGGGCAAAGTGTCGCAACGGAATATGTCAAAATCTCTTCTCAGAGCAACTCTTTACCGAAAATTAACGAGCGTAATTCCCACACGAGGCATAATTAATCGTAACGATCGTGTCGTTACCAGAGATGGTCAATTAGCAACGTTGTTACGCGGTCGTTGGATTCCTGCCCTCATATCTTCCTCCTCCCCCTCCTCTAATTACGCAACTTCGTCTTATCAACCTGCCTCAGAAGTCAGAAACCACTGTCGAGGCCGTTCGTAGACTCGTCGTCTATCAAACGATAAGAGGGCGTGTAACACTGTTACATAATTTTCCGTCTGATTCGTTATCTACGGGGTTCACGGGCGTCTATTGTCGCGTTGAATGCACGCGTTATCTACGTGATCGTTTAAATAAATTCCTGCATTCGACGTAAGATCGAGATAAGATCATTCACATAGGTAATTGCAGGAAAGGATAAACCGATTTCGATGATTTTTGAATGTGTGGTTGGATAGAGGACAAATTTGGATAGCAGATTCTGTGTAATTAAACTGGTGTCTAATTTTTTCTTGAAAATAAAATATCTCGAAAATTAATAATCGATGTTTAACAATTAATAATTGCATACGAAAAATTTTTCGCACGGGTAATTTAGACGTTACCGGTAGTATAGAAAAATTTATATAACTATACAATTCTGACGGATTACGCGATGGGGAAATCTGATCGAGCAGCGAAATTAGTTCTCGAAAGTTTCAGCATTTTTCCTCGGCAAGAAAAATTTCCTTATAAAAAAAAAAAAACTTTTACATCAGCTTTAAGAATCCTTGAAATAATTTTTAAACAACCTTCATGATGGTATAAAATTTTCCTTCGATATAATTACTTTAGACTTAGAAGAGCAATTATTGCGTTGATGAATATCGGGGCAAAGGTCACCGAGAGAAAGTTATTTATTCCCATCGATACGTTTAATTTCGTGGCCACGATTATAAAAAAATCATATTCGCGTTAAGAGGAAAGCTCTTCTGTCAGTGCAATACGCGACGCGCCTTTCAAATTTGACTTTAATTCAAAAAAAAAAAAAAAATATCTCGACAACTAGCAAGTAGATCGATCATTTATCGGTTAGAAATTCTAATTGTTTTTTTTTTTTTTTTCTTTTTCTTTTTAAACTCGATCTAGAAACTCCATCGCTCTTATCGACGACAATATTTCGAATTGATTAATAAATTTATTCATCTCGATATTAATTTCGAAAATTAAAACTGTCAGTGACAAATTGTTAAATCGACTTAATTTAAGTAGGTGAGGCACGTAGCGAAAACAAATCAAATTTTACGGATCGATGGCGAAGCCTGGTGCTACTCGACGAGCCAGTTTTCCAGGGACTTCGACGACAAATTGTAAAATACATAACCGATTAAAGACGAAAGTAGAACGAAGATACCGTATATACCATCCACCGCTTAATCGTGAACGAAATTATATTCGAATCGGAACATTTCATCACGATTTAAAACCCGTCCCCCTTTTCACGATCGCGACCCGGAAGGCATTTACCAACAGGCCATTAAGCTCTCTTTCCTCCAGATCTCTTCTCTTCTCGAGAATTCTTGATCGACTTCCTTTCCGAGCTAACCGTCCGTTAATTAACCAATTAATTAATTCTGGAACAAGCGGTTATAAATACAACCCTCTATCCATCTATTATCGAGAAATCGATCTTCACAAGACGCCTTTCAACGTCGCGTTATCAAATATCGCGATTCATCTTCCATCGAAAACATGGGTGGACAAACCACAAACGACGAGTATGCACGAATAAAGTAACAAGAATAATGGTTTACCGCGAATTAAACGATATTAAACCGTATATCATCCGCGGCGAAACGCGTGTTAATCCATATTCATGAGTGGAGCGGCACATAACCGCGTACATGCTACGCGTAATATGCGATCGGGAAAGAAAGAAAACTCGAAAACCTACCGCAATATTTCGTTCCACCAAATCCGTCGTTCCACCTTATTCCGTTGTCTTTTTCAATTTTCACGGGATTTCGTTCGATTTTTAAGAATCCGCCCAGAGGCAATCCGTCGAAAATTCGCTCGTGATAGATAACGGGTTTTTCCTTTATCGTCATAAATCCGTTTCCAGGATCGTCCAAACCCTTCTCTCTCTCTTTCTCTGTCATCCGAAGAGGAACGAACGAAGGATGAATTCTGCGAGACGAGAAGCGCATTCCTTCGAAAGGGAGGGGGGGTTGTTTCGATCCACTCGACGTAACGATGATATCCGCGAGGATATCTTCCATTTTTTCTCGATGTTGGATTTTCGTTTCGCGTAGGATTGGAACGCAATCGGTGCCACGGGAATGCGGAGAATCGAGCGAATCGATGTCCTCCACCGCCACGCCACGCCACGCCCCGCTCGCTCCTGTTAACCGAACCTTCTTGCTGTATTATCGGATTCTCCGTGACAATTCTCCAAGGAATTCGCGTGTGCTCCATTGCTTCTCCAATAAGTATTTTTCACCGGTTAAGCTCTGCTCTCTTCGCGCACAAGTATTATTAATCCTTCGAATAGAAGCGTACCATCATCGTTATTTTTGTCAGAACGAAAGGAGGAGAGAAGTGTGATTCAAGATCGAAATTATAGAATTGCAAAGTGGTTTTTTTCGAGAAGCATCGTCCTTCCAAATTATTCGAACGAGTAACAACTTTTTGAGTTCGTACAGGTGTAAAGAGAAATGATTCAAGATCGAAGTGTGCAAAGTGTTATACACGTGTAAAGATGTGGACTCTTATTTAGTATATTTACCCGCGAATTCTTCTTTTTAAATAATCGCCTTTTTTTAGGCGACATAGCAATGGAACAAAGGGGATCGGCACGAAATTTATTCCTATTTCCTTCGTTGAATATATTCTTCCGTGCTCTTTACTTTTCGATTCGAGGATAGCAACTTGAGAAATGATCGAAAATACATAAATCGTAATCGTCGTTCGAAAAACAAAGCGAAAGGGGCGGCGAAGATTCGTTCGTTCGTCTCCGCTTGAATGCGGAATGTTTACCAGATTCAAATCGAATTTCTAAAGTATTATACGTGATTTAGGATGGGCTGTAGGAAAATTGCTGTTTAAACCGTCGCTTATTTCGCGAGGATGTCAAGTGTAAACCAGGCTTAATGCGGCTGAACTAGCAATTCGAAACGAACGAGCAGAGTTACAATGGTACGTACAAAGCAACTACACTCTGTATCGGATTGGAGAGATTCTAATGTACGTGAGCCATTACTGAGTTGGTTTGCGTTTATAGATAGCACGTGCTGGTAACCGATTCTATGCCGTTTGTCACGGATTCAAACAGTTTGGAGAGAAGCTCCAACGAAAGGAATCGAATCCAGCTTCGAGTTAAATAAATAAAGAAAGAAAAAAAAAAATCAGACTTACGTCCATTCACATCGGATCCAGTTGCGACAAACGCAGTGAAGCAAATTACACATATAATTAACGATTTTATGCTTGTTTCTTTTCTTTTTCTTTTTTTTTTTTTTTTTTTCGATGTACGAAAATTCTCATTGGAAGATTTTTCTTCCTTTTTTTTTTTTTTTTTTTTAATTTTTGTTTCCATCAATTGGACATAAATCAATTCACGGAAAGGACGACACGTTTTCCCATTTTTCTTCCTCGATCAATAATTTCATTCCACACTCACGAGTTACAAAAAAACGACAAAGGACAAAATCCAATGGGAGAAGAGGGAGCTCGGTTAACCTTGTCCCGATCTATCGATCGATAAATGCTAATTTCACGGGAATTAAATACGTGGCGAAAGGGGAAAGGAATATCCGTGAATTCGAGAAACCGGTTGAATTAGAGAAGCTGCTAATTTTTCTCGAGTAACGCTCCATTTAATCTCGATCACTGATCCACTTATTTCGCGTCCCTCGAATTCGCCCCGTTTCAAACTCGAGATTTCGCGCGACTAACCAAATCGAAGGTCTTTTCTCGCGAAAGAAAAACTGCAATCAGCAAAAAATTCGCAACGATTCGAGCGTGCTTCGTCGGAAAAATTAAAAAAAAAAAGAAATGATCAAAATACAAAGTACAAAAAGTAAGGAAATATCGAGGACACCGAAATGTGCCCAATTCAGAGATCGTTTCTCGTCTTCGCTCTTAATCAAAAACAAGATTACTCGTCCCATCTCACGGACAATTACGATTGGAAAAAAAAATGTTAATTAAAAAGAAAAATTGTCAGCAAATTTTGCGGCCAATTTTCTGCCTCTTTTTTCTTCACCTACGTTGGCAACGATCACTTTAGAGTCCTCTAATAATTTTAGATAGAACCACCCCTTTGACGTTCCCGTCTCAACAGAGCGTATTCGCTTTGAAAAATTCTTCAATTTCCATTTCTGGAAACCGTGAAAGAAAAATGGTTGTCGCGCGTCCCTTCCTTTGAAGTCCCCTCGCAGAGAAGAAAAAAACTCATAGTTACGAATCTCCTTCTATTCTCATACGATACATTTAGAAAAAGACTACTCACCCCCTTGTAACTGTGGCTCACCAAGCTCGACGTAGAACAGGGCATCCTTCTCGTACGAATCTTCCTCGATGATCTCCAACGTGATCTCTTTTCTGGAAGAAATAAATAAATAAATGAAAAAGAAAATAAAGAAAAGAAAACAAATACACCGCGAGATTATTAAATCCGCGAAGGCTCGAGATCACATCACATGATCCCGAGTTTCGAAAGAAAGTTCGAAGGTAAAGTTGGGTTGAACTTCCGGCTAAACGGCTAAAGAACCTCGCAGCAGCCTTAAAATAAGCGTCGATCTTTCCTTGCTGCCCGAGCAACTTCCGGTCCCAAGGCGTGCGACGCAACTTTTTCCACTCCATTGAATTTGTTTCGAGACGTCTCAATTTCATACGTCCGAGTTGCAAAATTAAACAGCTCCGTTTCTCGCTCTTTCTTGGATTTAATCCTTCCTGGGTTTCCAACGATTTATATTTAATAATTTAATATCTCGGAATAAGGTTCCGTCGTTAAAGGTTCTTCGAAACGAATTTTTATTTGAAAAAAAAAAAAAATGTTTCCAATATTTTTAACTCGACGATCATTTGTCATAAAAGAATCTTTTGTAAGAAGACTTACGATCGAATTTTTGTCACGCTTTTTCAACACGAACGAGTTAAAGGAAAGAGTAAAAAAAAAAAAAGAAAAACACATGGTATTCAAAAACAATACGATTGCTCGCAGAGGATTAATGGAGAGAGATTAATACATAAATACAAAGGGATTTATTATTTTTGTAATTACAGATCGCGTGATCTTCCAACGACCCGTTGTATTAATCCCGTTGAATTTAAGACGTATTTCACGTATTCTGCCGCCAGTATCCATTAAACGCAACGGATTAGAGAGATCCCGTTTCGATTGTCTCCTCGAATTAACAACGTGGAAATTCTGTATATCGCGATCATTACTCTAGATTGCTCCCAGTAATCGGACTCAGTAAGCGCGAGTTACGATAACATTACGCTAACTAACCGGTATCGATATCGTCATAAAGCGAGCAGGGAACGTGACACAATGTCAGCGTCGATAATTAATCGGGGCGCGTCAATCGAACGACGAATGAACGCGTGATTAGCCAAGTTTCCCTTTCGAAATACCGTTGAAATATAAATTCAAGTGAAAAGACTCCAAGAGTTTGAAATTTCGCCTCGAGTCCCCTTGGACAAAGGTATTAACGTCAATCTTGTTGCGTTTCAAAGAGTTTAGGGGCGCGACGAGTGGTGGACGAGAGATGGCAGGACGAGAGGTCGGTGGAGAATCGACGAGAGATTTCGGCGTTGTCGCAGCGAGACGGCACGGTAAATTGATTTGGCTGCCAGTCTGAATCGATTTGAATTTCAAATTTGAACGTCTAATTTGGCAAAAGCCGTCGGATCGTTCGTTCCATCGGCTGTTACTCGATTATGGGATCGTGTGTGCACAGACGCCTCAGAAGCTGATTGAAATGTGGCTAAATGGAAGATCTCTCTTACAACGATGATACGAATTTTATCCGTCGTTCTGTACAAAAGATATATCTATCTGGAGCGGAAAAATTTTTGGAATATTTTCTCTCTCTCTCTCTCTCTTTTTCTCTCCAATAATAGTAGCAGCGATAGAGGAGGAACGGGTGTATTTTTCATTCGATATCCACGGCTCGTCGAAGGCAAAGTCTTCCCGAAATAACTCTGACCTTAGACTTGAAGCGACGATAACCCGTTGACTCGAAGTGTACGGACAGTTTGCGGCTACATACAACTATATCGCATCGATCGATGTACACTCGTTTCTGTGTACGCGCAGTGACCACACGACGAGGCGCCAAACAACTAGCTTTAAACCTAGACTATCCACCGTCGATTAGTCGAATCAACAATGATCGGTAAGAGGTGAAACCTCGATAATTAAGAACATTGTTGAATGTTCGTTTTGCGGAAAATTTCTCGACGAAAATTTCGCTAAAACTATTCTATTTTCTCTTCTCGAGAAAAATTGACAAAAAGATCGTTGCAAACTTGATAGAACAATTTTTCGATAATTTCGCTAAATTTTCCACTCTTGAAAACCTATTTCCAAACCTATTGAATCTATCGAAAGGAAGAAAACCTTTGGAGCAAAGGTTTTCGAGGAAACTTGGCGGCGACTCTGCTCGTTCGAAGTGACTTCGTCACGATAATCGCACCGATTGTTACAACGTTTTCGTCACCACGAGATATTCAAGTTTTTCTTGGAGCCCGATCGGAGCCACTCTTCCACTCTTAATTTGCGTTACGAGGTATGTCATGAACGACACGTTCGAACGTTATTCGGAACTGCGCACGACGATGACCGGCGTTAATGCAAATGTGCATTAACCCAGTTAGGCCTGTTTACACCAACCGAGCCACGGTGCTCGGAATGTTATTCGCCATCCTCAAAATTGACTAAGGCCACTTCTCCTCTGTGCCAATGGTGCTCGAGCCGAATAATCTTCGGGATCGATATTTGCGGATCCGAGTATCGAATATTGAACCTCGTAAATGTCCTTTTTCACGATAATATTCCTTTACTTACCTTTACTCGAGTTTTATCGACTCGTGTTTTACGAATATAGCATGGAAGCATTATAATAAAAAAGAAAAATTAATCGAAATGAAATATAATTGTAAAGTATATTTCATATCCCGGTGAAATCGGATTGGAAATAATAGGAATAAGCAATTATCATTTCCTGCCTCTGCGCAGAATTTTTAATATCTCGTATACTACTCGTTTCAGGCAAAGTATTTCGTACGAACAATGAATCGTCAACGAAATGGAAATTCACAAATGAATTAAACGAACTTCTGTATAATATAAACAGTCTAATTAAATTTGCTCGTTAATACGCGTATAATACAAGACTTCTAGATACATATTGAATTTTATCAAAAATTAAAATCGACGATAAGAAAAGTCATTCGCTCGAGAATCTAGCGATTTTTTTCGATATCGATATGCGAATTCCATATGGAAGCGCATTTTGGACGCCGCAATTCGCTGGGACGAGCGTTAAACCTCCACAGGAACGAATTCGTAATGGAAATGAAAGGAATAACTTTATACGCGGCCCCCGTGTAAACAAGATTCGCCCCGCCAGAAACGAGACGCGTGGCAATCTCGGCCATGCGAGAAATGGCGGTGGAATAAAATTCTTCCCTTCCAATCTTGTCACCGGGCAAAAACAGAGTTACATTTTACGAGGACGAACCCCTCCTCCTATTTACGGAGGCGGTGCAAGAATTCAATTTTCCTATCTCATCTCCTCTACCTTCGGCCAAGGTTGACCGATCCGTCGGCCTTGCCCTCGACAGAAACGACCATTTTCGTATCGTTTAACCGCGATAAAAATATCGTGACACGTTCTCTCTTCACCGATTGGTAACCATTTTTTTTTCAAATCGCTTTTTTCCCCTCTTTGACCACGTATCGCGTAATTATATCCTTCGGTGGATCGTTGGATTCAACTTCTCGAAACAGTAATATAGAAACGAGATTACGAATTAGAAAGACTTGGATATTAGGATCAAGAAAAAAATATGATACTTGGTTTCGGCTTAATGATTTACAAATTTACATAGAGATATTGGGACATCGAAGATCGAGTAACGGATGGTTAATAATTTTGTTTATCGCGTCGATCTTCCAATTCTTCGCCTATCTTTAAAGCAATCGTGTCGTTTCTGAAAATTCATCGTGTGCACGGGCGAATATCGATACGTAACGTGTAAAAATATTTCTACCATCGCGAAAAACTGATTCACGCGGATTTTCGTTCAGATTCTCCTTTTTTTCCCCCTTTCCTCTCTCTCTCTCTCTCTTCCTATACGTCTCGCTCAATGAGTCGATCCATGGAGGATCCCGCTTCGAGTCCTCGAATCGAGGTCGAATCCAATCTATACGAAACTCGATTTTTTTTCACAAGCGAAATATGAGAAGCGGATACGAGTAGATAGAATGGGGATGCGCTGGACGGATAAAGAGACGGTTCTTCGATTTTTTTTCAACGTTCGTGAATCCTATCCTTTGTGGTAGCGCTTGTTTAGAGTTTTTCGCTATGGAAATATATGTAACTCGTATCTCTTGCAAAGGCTTTTTGAACGTTTCACGGGATCGCGTTAGATAAGCGTACGCGTTGGAAATCGATGATTTAAACTTGATTATATGTATAGCCAGAGAAGTTGAATATCTTCGTTCGACGAGTGGTTAAAATAAAATAAAGTAAGATAAAAAAATGGTAGATCCAAAATATACGTCCTTCGCCCAAGCAATAAATTCGACAGAGTCGATCTCTTGTAAGCACGCATCAAAAATTTAAGCTTAGTCCATCCTGGGTGTGGAATTCCATCGCGGTATAAGCATTTCGATCCTGTCTATCTTTAAAACCGATCCGATTTTAATCTCGATTTTATAATCTCGATTGGGAGAAGATTTCGTTGAAAACTTTTTTCCTACTGTTTTTCCACCATTATCCTCGCTCGTCCCTTCCTTCCATCGATACGAAAATTTAAACATTCCACGATTAAAAGATCGACAAAGAGAGATAGAAATACAAGTTGGGGAAGTGTGACGAGCGACACGAGTCTATTCCTTCGTTTCGACCCGAACGTTTTTTCACCGAAGAAGCCTTTAACTCGCGCCACGAAGCACGTGTTGTAATGAGAAATCGATACGGCCTCGATCGAACCTCGAAACGTATGCGGAAAGAACTCGCGAGAGATCCCCCTTCTTCTATCTTCAATTTCTGCTACATTTGCGAGCAACAACGATAATATATTTCTCGTTGCCTCGAATGCACAATCCATTCCAACCGTATGCGTATGTTTTAGTAATAATTCTAAACGGAACGGTGTATCGCGAGTCGGTGTATTTCAGCCGCAACGTCCACCAAAAGGGCTCGTTAAAAGAAAACGCGCACCGAGATTTTTCGAGAATTACCATGGCCATGGATGGTTAATCAAAACGTCCCTCTCTCTTTCCCTTCCTTTTCTTTTTTCTTTCTTTCTTTCTTCTTCTTTTTTTTTTCAACGAGAACAACCGACGCTCTGAAATATCACTCGGA